AATTTTTTGTTTTCTTTCTTTTAATTCGTTATTTCTTTACTGTTTCAAAACGTTGATGAGAGCCTTAGCGTCGACCAGATGTCACCGCGGCGATGATCTGGCCGCGCAGAAGGCTGGAGAATGAGATACGAGCGAGAAGCACACCGGGACCGTGATAAGCGGGGAAGCGCGGGGCGAGAAAAGATTTACTCGAAAAACGGTGAGAGCGATGCAAAGATAGCCGGCCACCGCGGAGGCCAGGCCATGCGGACCCGGAGGTCCTCGGTGCCCCCCCCCCCCATCGTCCTCCGCCCACAGATTTACCTATACTCTCGTCCAACACGGTGGGGGCAGCGGAGGCGCCTCTCATGATGGCCCGTTCTAGTTTTGCTTCGTCTGTCATGATCGACTTAATGAAACCGCCCTGCCGTTTTGCTCAGGCGTACCGCGTCCGAGTCAAATGCGCGCGCCTCCGTGAGCGTGTGTGTGGGGGGGGGGGCAGGGCGTTGACTGATGCGGCCGCTACGTCATTTGCGCGCGGATGGTGAAGTGAGGGTGCGGAGACTGCAGAGGCGTGTTTGATGAGAGCGCCGCCTGACTCGGCGCGCGGAGCCAATGCCGCCGCGCCGTGCCCCTTCCCGCCCGCTGCTCGGAAGTCTCTGCTCTGAATTCCGCGGCAATTAAAATTCAGACGTAATCACGATAATTGTCGAGGTAATAATTATCGTATGTGCATTTGAGTCATGTCTGTAAAAGGCACCCATTTTGTTTCATTTCAACAGGAAATAAACGACTGCCTAAAAAACTAGAAATTGTGTGTCTAGACTATGGCCAGGACCCATAGTGAGAAATGAAGTTTCAAATCGACGTCAATTCGAAAATTCATCGATTTGCTGGACAAAATCGAATTGATGTCGTTGATGCGTGATGTAGGTGGCTGCGCCGGGCTGTGGCGGGCGCGAGCTCACCTCATCATGGAGCTGTCTCCACTCCGGGGCGGTGACCGCCGCGAGAGGCCGAGGCCCGTGGCCGAGGTGGGGCCTCCCCCTGCATCAGACTATCTATGGGCGCCATTTGCGAGTGATTGCGCGTCGCTCGGAGCGGCGGCTGCGTCCGGGCCGAGCGGGGCGCCAGCGCCAGCGCCGCTCATTACAGCAGGGGCGCGCCTACCGCGGACGCAGCCCCCGTGTAGGGGTGGGTGCTCCCCCTCCCGGCCGGCGCGGCGGTGCCGGCGGTAGGCCTCGGCCGCTAGCCTCGCGCTGTGATGTGTGTTGAGCTTTATTTTAATTAGCCCCCCCCCCTCCCTCCCTCCCCTCAGTCGAGCCTCCCCTACCCGACGGCCCGCCGGGTCGATAACAGAACGCGGCGGGGCTAAAGGCGGGGCATGCGCGGGTACTATACCGCTCCGCTCCACTCCCCCACGGAGAAGAGATCGCCACCCCATCACATCAGCACGTCGTAGGTCGGGCTGCGCGCGGCAGGGGGCGGGGGGTGACACCCAATTACACTCCTAGCACGTCCGCCCAAAGTAACACGATGAGCCAGGTGATGCCTCTGCATTGGAAATTAATCGTCAAGCCCCGTACCTTAAACTAAGTCAGGAATTTTACTTACTCAAACACGCCTTTTAACCCCTGCCTGAAGGCCGTGAATGTGCCCCCGAGAAGCCAATGTACGGTTATACCAGGTGGCTGATTCATCCTGCGCACTTTTGTAGTTATACTGTACCGCACGCAGGCATGCGAGCGGGCTTGCTAACCGCCCTTGACGACGGCGCCTTTTGGGACGTGCGAGTGCAACCAGCCCGCACGTAGGAATGCGGTGCCGGCTGTCCCGGCTCTTACATGCCAGTACGGTGGGTTGCCTATGCACTGGCAGCAGGGGCTGCAGGCGCGGGGCGGGTGGCGGAGGAGTGGGGGGAGCTGCGCTGGGTGAATCAGCCACTTGGTTTATCCTGCTCTTAGAACGCACCCCGTGAAAAGTGTGGAGGGAAAACTACAAAGATGTTTTAGCGGGACATAAGACCGTTAGGATTAATAAAAATGGAGACCTGAACGCACACGCCGCATTCCAAGTATATCAAAAAAGAAAACCTTGCGATCATAATGTTTGTGTCAGAGGAGATGACTACCTAGACAACTCTCTCATGTGTATTTCAGAAGCTTTTAAATTAATATGTAAGACACATAATCTACATGATATCTTTGACACCAGCAATCTTCTTTAAATATGCACTATATCAGAGATCCATGGCTTTCTATCACATATCTTTAACAAGAGTCTCCAAAATAAAAACTGTTCTTTTTGTTGTTGGTTATTTTTCAGAAGAGAAAACTTTTAGTGTGCACGAATGCAAAATTAACTTGCTTACATTAGAAAGCATTTACACTACATCATAATATCTTACAACAAAAGTATAATGTTCACCATGACATTGAAGGAGTGGGGGCTTGGCTTAACATGGACTAGAACAAAATTGTCTCACAACATTTTTATGACATCTCACTTTATATATATAGTATATCTATACATGTTGTATTACTGTATAATTTGCATACAGCCATTCTTTTGAAGAAATTCAATAAAGTTTCAGCCATGACAAAATAAATGGTTTCCAGTATTTTGGTTGTAAAAAAAAAAAAAGAAAACTGTGGAAGTAAATTAAAACAATTTAGTGTTCTAGTAAAAGATAGAGAGATCACATTGGAAGGTAAAGGTGACCAGTTAATGTACGTTTTCACTAAGTTACATTGTTTGAGAAGCAAGAATTTCAACAATATTGTAGATCACTAATATTAAAAGGGGCAACAATCCAATTAGAGTTTTAAAAGAAACAGATCAAATTCTCTTCTCCATTCAGTTTTTCACCAAATAAAAAAAAAAGTTTTGTTTGTCACTTTGCCATCTTTTAAACTGAAGTTAATGAATTGATTAAAATGCTAACAATCTTGTAAAAAGAAAGTGCCAACAATTAAAAGATCAACCACAGTTATAATTCATTAATCATACTAACTGACTGTACCAGCCTTTACACAATTCCAAAACAAAAATTAGATGTCTCTGTAACAGCTACTTTAGCAAAGAGCTGTTCTTGAAATCAGCAAACAAAAAGAAAAGAAATACATGTATTACAACAGCAACATGCTCTAATAGAAAAGTTCATGGTATTTTTCGACTTTAAAACAAAAGACAAAAAATAATAATCAAAACAAACAAGGAAATCACTAAATATTTTTTCAGCCAAATTCCAACCAGCAATCAGAGAGCAGTTTGCCATACCTACAAAATGCACACAGAAGTTCTGTGATGCTATCACAATGTCAAATCAAAACCAATTACAAATAAAATGACAACACCCTTCTACCCCCCTATGGTGGCTACTATTCACAAAGGTTGCCGCCTTCAAATGATCCTTTCACTTAAGTTGTATTGCTGAAAGATGTCAGTGGGGGCAATGTTAGGTAGAAAGGATAAAAACTATGAATAAAATTTAAAAGATATAACTTGATTGCTGCATTGTGATCTGCTTTAGAAATTAAAAGCAAAAACCAATGACTAAAAGAGCAGCTAAGAATAAAAACTTCAACAACAGCAGCATAACACTCCAAATTACTTGGTTCCAGTTCATTAATGAAGTGCCCACATTCTACAATGAATACAATAAATGGAGACTTCACACAAAAATTCTAATTGATAGTTACACACCACAACGTTCTCCACTTGGACCCAGCTGTGTTGAGAAGCTGAAACACTGCAGCTAACTAACACCCATTATGGGCAGAATAGAAGTTGTTGCACTTTGTAACATTCCGGTAAAATGACCTGGAAGCACAAACAGGCTGCTAGCGTTTGAGTTTCTCTAGTAACTGATTGTTAGTCACTTTGATTACATAACCAATGAAGTCAATGTAAATTAATAACAGGCAAGAGTTTTGCATGAATATAGATAACAAAATAAACAAAAACAGATCCTTGATTAAATACGATTTCTCAAGAAAACATAATTTTCTTGAGTTAAATGCTCTGGCTCTTTCAGTACATCGAGCCTCATATCTATTGATTATACTACATCCATCCCACATATCTGTTACATTTTATGAAGAGAGATGTTTTCTGGTCATTGAAATATTACAACTACTGTCTAGAAAGGAATGGATGGATGGTTCACCCATATGGCTCTAAATTTTGGTTTCCTTTTGATGCAAGTGCTACACAGAATATGTTCCAAAGAATTATTTTTTAATTTCTGCAAAGTTTTACCGATCTAACAGAATGAGCAAATTAAGTGAAGCTGAGAACCCGATATCAACTGTAAGAAAATAATGCCTAGCACAATTATATCCGGAGAAGATGCTGATCCCAATCTAATTACACCAAAGTATAAATTTGGAGGCCCTGAGAAATAACACCTCAATGTACAAACTGCAACACCATTCCATAAGAAAACTATTGAAATTGTGACTTGTCTGGAGCTTAGTTCAACTGACATCTAGTACTACAATGTACAATGTACCAATAACATTTTCTTTCCAGGAAATAGAACTACTAGAAACAAATTAGGAAAAAAAAACTTAAACTAAGCATTAGTAACATAAATTTGAATGTACTTAAAATAGGGTCCAAGGAGGAAACATTGATAACAAATACAATCAACTATCTAACAGTCTTGTAATACTTAAGATGTGTGAGAAACTAAATGCCATGCAACATAACATGTAACAGCTGTGCAAATTGCCCAAGGGCCGGGATCAACTCAGGATTTTACACAATGAAAAGAGGGTGGAACGCTTAACGACCTCCAGATTTAGAATGAGCAATTAGCCACTGTAGTGTGATGTCAATGTTATCTTTTTCTTTACATGAAATGGAATAACAGCAGATTTCTCTATCCTGAATTGCACACAAGTTCCTGAAATGAAAACACAAATAAATAGAAAATAATCAACTTTTACAATCTGCTAACAGCAAAATTTATAAACATAGCACCGATTGTACTTACATTCTGTCAATGAGTTCCTTCTCATCCAGACAAGTAGGAAGGTCTCTCTTATTACCCAAAACTAAAACTGGAATACCCATAAGCTGTGGTTTGTCCAGTAAGTTGTGAAGTTCATTTCTTGATGCTTCAATTTTATCAGGATCAGCTGCATCAACCATGTAAATTTGCATACAGCCATTCTTTTGAAGAAATTCAATAAAGTTTCAGCCATGACAAAATAAATGGTTTCCAGTATTTTGGTTGTAAAAAAAAAAAAAGAAAACTGTGGAAGTAAATTAAAACAATTTAGTGTTCTAGTAAAAGATAGAGAGATCACATTGGAAGGTAAAGGTGACCAGTTAATGTACGTTTTCACTAAGTTACATTGTTTGAGAAGCAAGAATTTCAACAATATTGTAGATCACTAATATTATAAGGGGCAACAATCCAATTAGAGTTTTAAAAGAAACAGATCAAATTCTCTTCTCCATTCAGTTTTTCACCAAATAAAAAAAAAACAGTTTTGTTTGTCACTTTGCCATCTTTTAAACTGAAGTTAATGAATTGATTAAAATGCTAACAATCTTGTAAAAAGAAAGTGCCAACAATTAAAAGATCAACCACAGTTATAATTCATTAATCATACTAACTGACTGTACCAGCCTTTACACAATTCCAAAACAAAAATTAGATGTCTCTGTAACAGCTACTTTAGCAAAGAGCTGTTCTTGAAATCAGCAAACAAAAAGAAAAGAAATACATGTATTACAACAGCAACATGCTCTAATAGAAAAGTTCATGGTATTTTTCGACTTTAAAACAAAAGACAAAAAATAATAATCAAAACAAACAAGGAAATCACTAAATATTTTTTCAGCCAAATTCCAACCAGCAATCAGAGAGCAGTTTGCCATACCTACAAAATGCACACAGAAGTTCTGTGATGCTATCACAATGTCAAATCAAAACCAATTACAAATAAAATGACAACACCCTTCTACCCCCCTATGGTGGCTACTATTCACAAAGGTTGCCGCCTTCAAATGATCCTTTCACTTAAGTTGTATTGCTGAAAGATGTCAGTGGGGGCAATGTTAGGTAGAAAGGATAAAAACTATGAATAAAATTTAAAAGATATAACTTGATTGCTGCATTGTGATCTGCTTTAGAAATTAAAAGCAAAAACCAATGACTAAAAGAGCAGCTAAGAATAAAAACTTCAACAACAGCAGCATAACACTCCAAATTACTTGGTTCCAGTTCATTAATGAAGTGCCCACATTCTACAATGAATACAATAAATGGAGACTTCACACAAAAATTCTAATTGATAGTTACACACCACAACGTTCTCCACTTGGACCCAGCTGTGTTGAGAAGCTGAAACACTGCAGCTAACTAACACCCATTATGGGCAGAATAGAAGTTGTTGCACTTTGTAACATTCCGGTAAAATGACCTGGAAGCACAAACAGGCTGCTAGCGTTTGAGTTTCTCTAGTAACTGATTGTTAGTCACTTTGATTACATAACCAATGAAGTAAATGTAAATTAACAACAGGCAAGAGTTTTGCATGAATATAGATAACAAAATAAACAAAAACAGATCCTTGATTAAATACGATTTCTCAAGAAAACATAATTTTCTTGAGTTAAATGCTCTGGCTCTTTCAGTACATCGAGCCTCATATCTATTGATTATACTACATCCATCCCACATATCTGTTACATTTTATGAAGAGAGATGTTTTCTGGTCATTGAAATATTACAACTACTGTCTAGAAAGGAATGGATGGATGGTTCACCCATATGGCTCTAAATTTTGGTTTCCTTTTGATGCAAGTTCTACACAGAATATGTTCCAAAGAATTATTTTTTAATTTCTGCAAAGTTTTACCGATCTAACAGAATGAGCAAATTAAGTGAAGCTGAGAACCCGATATCAACTGTAAGAAAATAATGCCTAGCACAATTATATCCGGAGAAGATGCTGATCCCAATCTAATTACACCAAAGTATAAATTTGGAGGCCCTGAGAAATAACACCTCAATGTACAAACTGCAACACCATTCCATAAGAAAACTGTTGAAATTGTGACTTGTCTGGAGCTTAGTTCAACTGACATCTAGTACTACAATGTACAATGTACCAATAACATTTTCTTTCCAGGAAATAGAACTACTAGAAACAAATTAGGAAAAAAAAACTTAAACTAAGCATTAGTAACATAAATTTGAATGTACTTAAAATAGGGTCCAAGGAGGAAACATTGATAACAAATACAATCAACTATCTAACAGTCTTGTAATACTTAAGATGTGTGAGAAACTAAATGCCATGCAACATAACATGTAACAGCTGTGCAAATTGCCCAAGGGCCGGGATCAACTCAGGATTTTACACAATGAAAAGAGGGTGGAACGCTTAACGACCTCCAGATTTAGAATGAGCAATTAGCCACTGTAGTGTGATGTCAATGTTATCTTTTTCTTTACATGAAATGGAATAACAGCAGATTTCTCTATCCTGAATTGCACACAAGTTCCTGAAATGAAAACACAAATAAATAGAAAATAATCAACTTTTACAATCTGCTAACAGCAAAATTTATAAACATAGCACCGATTGTACTTACATTCTGTCAATGAGTTCCTTCTCATCCAGACAAGTAGGAAGGTCTCTCTTATTACCCAAAACTAAAACTGGAATACCCATAAGCTGTGGTTTGTCCAGTAAGTTGTGAAGTTCATTTCTTGATGCTTCAATTTTATCAGGATCAGCTGCATCAACCATGTAACTAGAAACAGAAACGGATTTTTTAACACTTTACATCAACTTTAATACAAACTTGGCACATAATGCTGATTGGATGAATACTTACACTATAGCATTAACACCACGGCAATAACGTTCCCACATTGATCGGAATCGAGGTTGTCCTCCAATATCCCAGACTTTGATAGTGACATTGCCCTTAGTGATTTTCCGCATGTTGAAACCCACTGTTGGTATCATATCTTGGTTAAACTGCCCTGACTGAAAATATAAAATGTAAAATGTCATTGTTGCTCATGTGTGAAAACTTATGAACGCACATTATTTTGACAAGGCTAAGAAAACTCCACAAAGAAAGAGAAATGTTAATGCGTTTGACTATTGATGGCTTTAAAAGATAAGCAAGAACAAACAAAGTAAGTATATAGAGAGAACAGCACCAGTCATCAACTACATTTGTAGATAATACATAGTGAAGAATTTATGAACTGAAGCATGGTTACAGTTATTAACAACGAAAAAGGAAACGGAATAATTAAAATTGCTTTCAACAACAATGCAGAATTCTAATACTTAGTTAATCAGTAGTTCAACTTTGACGTTTTGAGGTTATGTGAAAAACAGATGGTAATTTGACATAGAGTCCAAAGGCCACATTCTTCGCTTGACCGCAAAATTTTCCGTCAAAGTTCAACAAATTCAATTTAAGTAACTCAAAGTAAAAATACATACCGCAATCACATTAACGAAGGTTGTTTTGCCAGAACATTGTAAACCGACAAGTGTCAGTTCCATTTCTTCTTTCCAAAACAAGCTCTTAAACCAATCCAAAATTCTATTTACTAAGGCCAACATTTTGAGTAAATTATATATTACAACGCAATGTCAAAAACTCATCCACGGCACGACGAGCAAAGGCGCAAGAGGTAAAGTTACACTCCTCGAGCGAGGGATGAGCACAAGAACAAAAATCCACACCCCTGCCACTACAACCACAACCGCCGCCGCAGCATGAGCTGTCGCCGTCGCCTGTCGCCTGCAGCCACTCGCTACTACGCTCATGGGTTGAGTTTCCTATGATCTCATTTATTTCTCACTATTAATGCTTATAAATATCAATCGCGCTTAATCTTACTGCAAAACCTTTATTTCTTCTATTTACTTCATAGTTATTTGTCTTTGTATTTAATAGATTCACTTTACGTATGTCTTACAAGCGCGAACGACGGTGTTGCAGTGTTATCCCACAAAAGACAGCGTAATTCAAACTTGTCAGATCGACCCTCAGGAGACTGGGACTGTAACTTGGGCGAATCTGCAATATTTCCCAACAATTATATAGAATGTTGACTGCTAGCGTAATGTACAAAGAAATTTAATGGTTTCCACCGTTCAAAAAACAACAACAAAAAAAAAAAAAAAAAATAATAAAACATTGCTTGATTTTGGGAGCCTTGTCCTTTCCTGATGAATATTTAAACCCCTGAATCGGAAACGTTAACGCGTATGTCCCTGCGACAGTGCGTCTGTCTCGCATTGGTCTATTTCGAGTAATTCCCCTCTTCCCTCCATCCACCCCTCTGCTGGCTGGCTGCCATGGTGCCATCGGGACATGGGGACGGATCCCAGCTTCACAGCTTTAGCCCGGGCTCGGGATGAACTAACAGAAAACAGTCTTTCGAAGATCAGAGCTCAACAGCAGGGGTATTTTCCCAGAATCAGTAGTAGATAAGGCGTCATGGACTCGCAAAGTGAGTAAAGGGGGAATTCCCCCCTCCCCCCGGCCGGTGTAACCCTTATTCCAGCAGTCTTCCAGTACTGAGAACCCAAGGAGGAATTTGAGCTGTTACTCTGTCACTGTAGGCGTCAAATGAAGTCTCATTTTGTCGATTTTCTGATCCTGGCGTCATTCTGATTCTATGTGACGCAAAATCTGACTTTGACGTCTGGGTGACAGAGTCACGACGTAAGAAAATCCTACTCGGGTCGCACAGCGCGGTGTGCGTGTGCTGCTCGTGCTGCTCTGTCGCGTGAGCGGCTCGTGCTGTAGCCCCTTGTGCGGCAGTGTGGCACGAGGACATGCAGCTCGGTTGCCTACTCTCTCGGAGCTTTATGGAGCTGCTGATTTTCGGCAACCTTTTGTCACAACGATCGCCTGTAGTTTTGTACCTGTGCACAAGGGCGTTAATCTCAAAATGTTACGAAAATACTCACATAAAGCAAACTAATGACGCTTCCAGTGTCCGCGGACGGCCCATGTGCCGTGTGCAACGCCCCCGGGCGAGCATGCGCCGGTTGTCTCTCCGTATACTACTGTGGGAAAGAGCACCAACTCGCTCACTGGCAGAGCGGCCATAAGCACACATGTGCGCCATATAAAATATCCAAGGACCCTATACTTGGCAGATACCTAGAAGCCACACAGGATATTAAAGCTGGAAAATTCATTATGAAATCAAAACCACTTGTATGTGGGCCTCAGGTGAGTACCAGGTGGAATTCCCTTGACACTATAATACTTTATAGAACTTATTTGTTCCTGTCACAACATAGAGAAAGTAAAACTTGAATTTTCAGATGAGTTCAGAGCCAGTCTGCTTAAGTTGTTGCAGGCGCCTTGAAAATGAACCTGATGACTGGTATCAATGTACAGTGTGTGGGTGGCCACTGTGCTCTCCAGACTGTCAAAAGGATGAACAGCACAGACCAGAATGTAGCGCAATGTCGAAGGCTGGTTTCTATATGGGCAGAGGTGTGTATTTAACATCAGATAGATCCTTGCATTGAGTCAACTTATACTCTTGTTCCCCTATTTTACAGACTGTGGAAAAGTTACTATTCTTGGAGGGTTGGAAGAACTAAACCAATGGTCCTGGTATGGATCTATAGTTCCAATCCGCGCCCTATTGCTACCACCAAAAGATTACAAGAAATTGATGACGCTCCAGACTCACATACAGGAGCATCGACGCAATCCTGAATTTAATTTTAAAGTTCGGTCAGTGACTAACTTTATTCATAACTTGTTAAAATTGCGTGACTTTAAAGAAGAGGATATTGCAACAGTCCTAGCCATATTTGACACTAATGCATTTGAAGTTGCTCGTTCAGATCTAAACCAGGCGGTAAAGTCACAAGTATTATTTTACAGAATGAAGTTTCATGATTGCTGTCCCTGTTTTGTTTCAATTTTAAAATGCATTTACAGGGCAGGGCTTTATATTACATGGGGTCAATGATGGCACATGCCTGCAACCCAAACGCCCGTCTCTGTTATGTGGGTGAGAAATTTGAAATGGCTCTTATGGCTGAGCAAAACATTCCAAAGGGAGGAAGCATTAACATAACTTACATGGACCGATTAAATGGGACATTGAAACGTCTTACACACTTGAGAACAACAAAATACTTCGATTGTTGCTGTTCTCGATGCAATGATCCCACTGACATGGGCTTGTATTTGGATTCAGTCAGATGCATTACATGTCGAGGTAATTTTCAAAGTGTTGGATGAATGACGTCTTCTGTGAAAGTGCTCTCTTATTATGTGTTTGCTTCTTGATTTGATAGAGAAAGGAAAACTAAATCTACTGCTGTCAACAAGTCCCCTAAAATTAACAGCTGACTGGCAATGCCAGGATCCTCAATGCCAAAACAAAGTATCTGCATCAGAAATGATACGAACTCACAAGGAACTAAGAACCGCTAAACAGTACTTGGACGAAAATCCTCAGTTGTCAAAGTACAAAGAATTTATAAACAAACAGCTTGGATCTGAAGGATTGCTTCATTCGACTTCTACCTACATTCTTCAAATAAAGATTTCTCTTATATTTGATATTTTGGGACATAGTCCAGGCTACTACCTGAAAGGTATTTTGAAATGAAAAGACAAGCACGGTCAAACAGAGTAACCTTTTTATCCCTCCTTTTCATTCTTAAACCTGACTTCTCTAGAGCTTGAAAACAGCTTACTGGTCTACAAAGTTCAGCTGTGCCAAGAAATGCTGGATATTGCAAAAATACTTCATCCTGGATTTTCAAAGACTCGTGCTTTCTTACTTATGCAACTACAAGAAACACTGATGGAGCAGACAAAAAGAGAGCTGAGAGATAAGTTGATCACTTTGAAAGAGGCTAAGGTAGGCAAAGAAAAATATGAAAAAATAGATTTGAATGTTAGTTCACTACTTGACATGTTTCTAACACACAGGAGTCTACAAAAACGGCTAAGGCTTTCCTAGATGAAGCTGTATCAATTCTACAAGAACCAGCAAGAAAAGCAGATGTTGAGTCAAAAGTAAGGGAGTTTCATAATTGCTGCAAACGGATGGGTATGAATGCTTAAATTCACTTGTATTAATTTTTGATACAAAAGATTTATTTGAATCTCAAGACAGTGATTTGGAACATGGATGCAATTATAAAGTAAAGGACGAAGGAGGAAAATTAGTTTAATAATAAAACCATGATATTAGTTTTGGATGAAAATGTACTGCTGTATATGGTCATATATGGCACAGTGGCAGTCCAAGGGAGTACAGATTATAGAGGAAACTCATAGCCTGTCCTTTCTACCCAATGTTGATATTGTAACTCAAGTTATTATACCTGTGTCTTTTTACTCATTGGTTAGAAAGAACAGTCCATACCCTAGTAGCACCAGTGCGGAGAAGCACATCAAAATACGCTTAAAAGGTCCAACATTTTGGGCGTGTTTAGTGCACATTAGTGAGTAAAATGCGAATTTCATGTGCACAATGTGTGTTAAATGCGCTAAAAATGTAGGACCTATTATGACCATTTTGAAGTGCATTGTTGCATTTTAAGCACATTTGCACTACCAGGGTAGTAGCTACCCAGTGCGGACATAAGTGGAACATCCAAAAGTCGACCTAGTATGCAACAATGTTGTTTTGATATAATTTTTCATACAGCAATTTCTCACTGGGTAAATCTTTTCTTTACTCCCTTAATATTGGTATTTAGCAACTCCCTCATATCTTATGTCAAAAACATACATTTTTCCAAAAATCTGAGAGGAAAATTAAAATTATGTAACAATAATTTATCAGACAAGTATAAACTACAATATGAACATATTGCAGACTGAATTAACACTACACTATTATGCATCTGAGAATTTAAGGACCAAAACACTAATACAAATTGAAACAAGCAAAAACTCAACAAAAACATTTTAGTCACAAAATCACCATGGGCGTCACAGTAACATATTTTCGTTAAAATCTCTAGTGTCCTCCCAGGTGGAAAAGTTGTGACATAGTAGGTCATACCATACAGAGATCACAAATGTCATTGTGAGAGAAGTGTTCGCCTGGGGAAGATGCATGACGCATACAGCAAATAAAAAAATGTCAAATTTGTAAAAATATCAGCAAATTTAGAAAAATTATGTTTAACATTCAATAGAGAATGGCAGAGTGGTCAAACATATTCCTGAAAAATAATTGTGATATTGAAACTAAATCAATAAGAAAAGAAAGTAAGAAGTAAATAAAGAACAAATTTGTATGGTAGCAAATGTCTTGATGGTATTGCACAAAAACCTAAGCATTGTGGAAATGTAATTAAGTAAATGCATCAGAAATATGAAGTAACATCACAGTGTCCGAACATGAAGTATGATTATGAAATAACTGATTTGCAAACATTATTTCCTCGTTAGATATAAAAGAGAAATTTTTTGACTTGCATATGACTCATAAATCCACACTATAAATACCTGAATAAATCCATTGTGTGTACAAAGTGTACTTTCAATTGAGATCTGTGATGAATTTGTTTGGTTAAGATCCTCACAGAACATTAATAACAGCATAGTTTCAATAAGTAAGATTACTATAAGATCTTGTTGAATCTCCACGTAATTAATTAAGTATGCATAGCTTGCAATATACAATAGAAAATATGAGAATGCTTGTAAGGTAACAACTATGTTTCAATAAATTTTGTGCAACCTAGTGTTCATGTCTAATCAAACCTGAACACCATAAAACATGAAAGACAATGAGAAGAAAGATAAATATGCTGAGGCCCTTGCATATTGGGCTGTTAACGTTAATTTACAACAAGAACTGTCCTCAACAGTTCGGGTATTTTTGATTTACTCATACTAAAAACAAAAGAGAGTAAGAAGAGAGTGTAACACATTGAAATGGCACTAAACAGAAATACCTCATGGCAAACAGCAAGCAACTTTACATTAAAAGTATTGCTTACTGAATCAATAGAAATAAAAAATAATGACACTACAGATATAAAAATTAAAGCTTTCAGTTAATTCTCACTCAACAAACTGTCACTCCTGTGGAGAAGTCATGAAATACATAACAAAAATATCACAGCACAGGAGTTTATCAGAGGATTCAACAATTACATCAAGTACCAAATGAAGATAAAAAGTTATTACAAGTAACAAGAAAAGAGTGTCTAACATTCAATTAGGAATTAAATTATCTACAATAATTAAATTGAATGGAAGGGAATATACTTGCCATCACTTAAAGAGGTCATTTATGACCTCCTGGAGTAAGAAAGCTAATGCATTCATTTTGAACCCAGGAGCTGAACACAACAAAATAGCCATACATCACTCATCTAACAACATTTATTTATGTATGCAGACTAGCTCAAACTTGGCCACATTATCATTTATGATATGAGTGAACATGATGTACAGATGTCCACATACAAATGATCAACACAACTTGAGGTGTTAAAGGA